ATAGATTATTACTCTTGAATTGTAATAGTTAGATTATTTTTAGTTTTTAATTCTGGTTTGTTCTTTAGTGTGTTTAGGTTTGTCAACATTAATTAAACTTTGATTAAGCTTCTTTATATGAAGTTATTTCTAATAGCATTAAAAGCAATAGATTTTTTATAAAAAGGTTTGGTTGTACGATCTTTTTTTATCACTATTTTCCAATATTAACTTGAACATTTTACACGAATCCATAGCCATATGTTGGTTGTGAAGATTATTACGTAAAGATCCCTTTTCTACAAAAATGTAATTTCCTGAATCATCTTTTGATAGCCAAATCATGGTATTAAGATACGATTACTCTTTTATTATATTATATTGAATGGAGAATGATAATTCTCAAAGGCATGCCAGGGCTATTTATACAAGTTAACTGAAAACAAGATTTGAATATTGCATCTATCAGTTATAACAATATCTATTCTATGGGATAATTAATACATGATATAGTATAACTAGTATATATAATACACTATAAAATATAGAATGAGAGATAAAATATAATAAGTATATAAATAATATTCATCGGTGTATATTTTTCCTAATCATAAAAAATCTAAAAACTACTAAAACTACCAAAAAGATTATTACAATTATTGAATAATCATTACTATAATTCATCGTGTAGAATGAATAATTATTAAAAAGGCTTGTATTTAATATGTATGTCTGCTTTATATATTTGATGTATAGTATTAATAAACAGCTAAATTTATATGAAAATACAAGTAGACGCGACAAGCTGTATGAAAACATAAAGCTGAAAAAGTGGAAAAAGAAGTAGAAGATTATGTGTACCAACAGAAAATTCAATAAATAATCTTTTAGTAGAAGTACCATTATCAAATTCATTACTTTCGCCATGAATAAATAAATTAATAATTCCCAAAATCCATATTAAGAGTCATCTTTAAACATGCTATTGATGATATATATGCACCTTTTCTAGTAGATTTTATAGTCAGAAATTAGATCATATTGGAAGAACACTAGATTGACTTTGAATTTTAATAGGAAAATATAATGTTAGATATTATTAAGACGAAGGAATTGAGTTGAAAATAATAAACAAAATAAAGCGTTTAATGATAACTTTTTTTTTTTTTTTTTTTTTATTATTTATTTATTTATTGTTACAACAGCAAAAACATTGTTATTGACCTATTTGAACTATCGTTATTGACCTACTAAAAAATAAGTACATCGTTATTGACTCATTAAAAAAAATTTAATCCATCATCGTTGATATTTGTACGATATGATGTTTTTAATAGTATTACGCATCACATGAGTTTCTTAATACTTTCACTTATTGAATCTCCTTTAACCAAAATAAAATTCTGTATTTTATTATTTGTGTTAACGAATATGGTCATATGAATATATAATTTTTGACACAATTAAAAGTTAATATTTTTTATTCGAAGTAGACTTAGTGAAGCTAATATAGATTAGTAATTCCACAATAGATATAAAAGCTAATCTTCTCCAAACATTAATAAATTTTTTACGTCTTTATTCTAATGTAATATTATCGTTATTTTATATTGTGGTCAAATAATTTTAAAAAACACATATGCTTATTGTATGTTCACAACAATTAATATTACTGATTGTGTAAATATCATTTATACAAAATGGTCACCCACTCTGTCTATATTATTGATAACGATAGTATTGTTCATTTGCTATTTGGACGAGCAGTAGAGCAATATCTTTATTCACTCCTTATTTCCTATGGTATCCATTACAGGTTCAAAATAGAAAGCGGATGAACGATGCAATAAAACAGGGACTTGTAGTAATCGAATGTGTAAAAGGTTTAGCTAATTATATTGGCTGGGAAACTGTAAAAGGTCAGCATAAATCTACAAACTGTCTTGATAATATCTTACGATTAACAAATGGAAAAATTGAGTTCAGCAAATAAGTATAGGGAAAGAAAAAGATTTTCAAGTTTGGCAATGGATTTGTTTTGTTCTGGCGAAAGTAGTTGTCAAAAGCTATGTAGTAGAATTGGCTCATATATTGAAACATGCAATTATTACACTATATCTAACATCAAGAACCCTCTTAACATGCATAAATATAGTATATGGATAACTATTGAAGTCATACTTTCAGAAGTAGATACAGACCTTCCTATGCATATGATCATTAGTGGCAATCATATTTCACAAAATATTATTCAAGAAAGAGCCATATCATCCTGGATTAATCTAAGTCAAGAAGCACGAGATTTGGCAATTTTAAATTATCAAGCTAACAAATACACAACCAAAGAAATTAAAATGAAGCTTCTTGCATCTCATAATAGAGCTTCACAAAATGAACTACAAAAATTATATGATAATTAAAGCTCTATATGTGATGATATAAAACTTTGCTAACTTCTTGAGAGAGACAATTTACGTATAAAAAAAAAAATAGGACCATAGACAGTAGTACATGAGTTAGTAACTAGCATATTAAAGGAAAAGGGTATTATTTTATATTATTAGCAACTAGATATCAATGCAAGTGAAAATAGTTCAGAACGTTATTATCAACTTACAATAAACGATGATCTATGGCTCTAGCAAATATGTGATTTTGAGTTATTTTGCTTTGAAGTTGACAGAAAATATGATTTAAATAGTGATAGTGCACCAGTACAGTTTCTTGTTGTTAAAGACTATGTAGGTTATGGAACTCTAATTGTATTTGGCATATCAAATAAAGAAAACCAACATACAATTAGACTTGCTGTAGAAGCAGTTAAACAAAATATTCCATGTAATAATATTAATTGTATATATGAGTATCAGTATATAGAGCTAGCAAATAGAAAAAGATTTATGAGAATTTGTCATTATGCACAAAAATGGTACCCTTATGCAATAATTGATAAACACTGACCAACAAAATGAAGGCTTCAGCCTATTATTCATGAATTAATTTTATATTAGTTTTATATTATGCAAATGCTTGAAGAGCATCTTAAAGATTTAAAAATTGTAGATCATTATTGATATCTAATCACTATTGCATTTAAAGCTATAGGTCAAAGCAGAAGTAAAGAGGAAGCTATAGAGCTTAGTGATGTTTATGAATTATTTATTAGATCTTTATCACTTTCAGAAATTACTAAAGAATATTTATGCAATGATATGTTTGCTAATTGGTTGTTTGAAGAATGGATTAATTGTTTTATTGATAGTGGTTGGTTGCCTTCTGTAAATAATCACTCAGATATAAAACCTATAACTACAAATAATCTTATAGAATAAATAAACAAATTAATTGAAAGTTAACATATTGGCACTCAGCTAATTAATAACTTTATTGAAAGATTATATGGGATTATACTATTATGAGATAATATAATTCAAGAAGCCTCTTTGGGTCTGGTGATCTTAGTGTAGTGGTTAGGTTGCCAGACTGCCATACAAGAGGTCTAGGGTTCAAATCCCACTGTAT